TGCCTGGCTGTGGCACACCTGTGTGGCCCACGAACACCATCCGGATCTGCCAGTCAGCCTCCCACACCTTCACAGTACTGTCCCGGGAAGCTGTCACCATGGCTTCTGCCTCCTCACAGTATTCCAGGTCTGAGATGATGCTAGACATAAGAGAATGGGAAGCCCAGTGGATTCAGCACAGTCGTATCTGTGGGTCCTATAGCCCACAAAGTGATTGGCTCTCCTTAAGGGATCTGCCTCCCATCCCGTCCCTGGACTCCCCTCACGTTTTATGCAGATCCTGGCACACATTTATTAGCGTCCAGGCGTCCAGATCAAAAGTGAGCACTGCCGAGCCATAGGCAGCAAAGCAATGCTGGGTGCCCTGGTCATCTTCCGGCCCTAGAGCCAGCCTCTTGAGAGAGCCAGACAAGCCTGGCGGTGGTTGCAAAGGTGAGCCACAGGACACCAGGCGGCGACCCCCTGAACGGAACTTCCAGAGCTCCAGTCTGCCTCCCACCTGGGCCACAAGTAACAGTCCCAGGCTGGGCACTGGTAAGCAACACAGAGGCTCCTGGCCCAGTGTCTTGTTCTCCTGTGGCGGGCTCAGCCAGAGCAGGTGGAAATCTGGCCCTAATATGGCCAGTCCAGCTGGGCCCCAGCCTACAAAGCGGCCAACTTCTCCCAAAGGGCCAGGCACAGTCACTAGCCCATTAAGTACCACAGGCGCCTGCAGCTTTGCCTGCGCCCAGCCATCCTTGGTATACTGATGCAGGTAACCTTCACCATCTAGTACCATGAAGCGTCCACCCACTGGGTCCTGCACTACTGAGCACAGGCCAGCTGCCACCTCCAGACGACGCAGTGGCTCCAGCCCGTGTGTCATCCGAGTGACTCGCAACTCTGCTCTTTTCTCCTGCAGGCCAGAGTACACAGACATGCATGTGAATAGTGGAGGCCTGAGCTCATCTGCCTGGGGAGACTCGAAAGGACCAGTGGAATTGGTGCCCAGTGTCTTTAGGGAAGAGCCCAGCTAGAAACCTAGTAAAGAGCCACACCTTTTCTACAATGTCATGGAGGTATGTGCGTAGATGCAGCCACAGCAGTCGGGCTCGGGATTTCAGTGTCATTTTCCGCCACCTCTGGCTATTTGTAAAGAGCTGCAGGACCGGTGGTGGCTCATCCAGACCCAATTCTGTAAGTCAATGGAGGATGTGGTGTCACTATAGCCTTGTGCCCTAACCCTGGAGGTGGGAAGCATCACTGAGCCCTCCTCTGAGAGACATGATGGGTCAGGGACTGTCCAGGGCACTTCTGGGACTGAACAAAAGTCTGAGAAACATCTGCCTCCTAGTAGGGTGCCTGGACAATGGTAGGTGCCCTCACCATTCTTTTCTGAGAGCACCCCAGGATCTGGGACATCACAGCATTCCTGATCATACACGTCTGTGTCCAGAACCGCATTGTCGCCCTCTGATGGAAAGAGGTTGCTTGCGTCTAACATGTCCTCCATGTCAACCATGGACAATCTCAGAGGTACGAGGTTTAACAGCTCTTGAGACTAAATAACGGAAAGGCAGTAGCTGTTGCTAAGATACCAGAGGTTGCCGGCCCCGCCCCACGACGCAGGCCCCGCCCCACGACGCAGGCCCCGCCCCCACACACTCCCCTGTTCCTTCGAAGTCACAGAAACTTTTATTGGAAATGAATGAGCTGCAGCAAAGTGACACTCAGTGCATGTGGCCCACCTCGTAAGGTGGGGGACAAAAGTGGGCACCAGGGGCTGGCCCAAGACCAGACCCCATAAAACACTGGGCACCGCTTACAGGGCCTCAAGTCTCTGGCCCTTAGAGCTGGAGTGTACAGGCCCAGTAAGAAATACAAAAATAAATTCTGTGATCCAGCTGTCCTGTCCGTGGCAGGCTGGCGGTGCAGAGCAGTCACTTTCTATCCAGCCCTGTGCTGTCTAATCCAGCCACAGCATGGGCAGTAAGAGCCTGCAGGGATGAGTGGACGTCCACAGGCTGAAACCAAAGGGCTAGGCAGATATAGACTTGGGCAGCGCCAGGATGGCGGCAGTGCCAGGGTGTAGCCAGCATCTGGGGAGGCTCTGGAACTCTGTAGGTAGACAAGTTCAGGCATTGGTCGAAGCTGGATGAAGCTGAGACCTCTGCTTTTCCGCATCACATACAGATCACTGGAACCCTAGGCAGAAGTTGGCACAGAGTAGGACTTCAGGAGGTACCACTCAGACCAGGCAGAGAATTCTGATTTTCCCCACCCACTCCAGGCTCTAGAGTTCGAAGCCATGACAGTAGCCTCCACCACCACCACACCTGTCTTCCTCCATGGTGCTGGTCTCCTCCGCCCTGCCTTCACTGCCTCCACGTCCACTCTCTTCATCAACCTCTTCTGCTCCCAGTTCCAAGTCCAGTGCATTGCCTGCTTCTGAGGGTGTGTAGGTAGAGCCACTGGGTGGGGAGAGAGATACCAGTCTTAGGACCAGCTACCCAGGCCTTCTCAGGGAGAATAGACCCAGTTAAGGAATAGGGGGCTGGAGAAAGGGAGGTGGCAATGGTACCAACCTGATGGAGCGGCAGCTAAAGAAGACAATTCGTTTAAGACGCTTGTTGTAAAAGAAATAATTGAATGACCAGAGGCTTCCATCTTCCCCAAAGGGGTCTGAGTCCAGATCTGGGTTATAGCTGAAGGAGGAGGAAAGCAGAGGGATGAGGCTCTCTCTGCCACACACCCTGCCATGTATACCTGCAAAGATGTGAGCCCACCTGTAGATGTCACATTCGGCTAAGCAGATTTCCTCATCCACCGCATTCCACAGCTGTGGCTTCAGGGCCTTGAAGTCTTCCCGAACAGCAGAGAACAGGCTGCAGTTGACGGCATTTACCACCTACGGCGGATTACAACAGGGATGACAAGGGGCCAGGGCGGCAGGTGGAACCCAAGCATCTACTCAAAGTGGGGAGGGCGATGGTCATGACTACAAGGTTTTGGGTCCCTCTTCCCATCCTTACCCAGCTAAGGCTGGGCTCCCGGCTGAATTCATGGCTTCTGGCTGTGCTGAAGTCATAGTCTGGCCTGAAGGACTCATTGAGTGTGGCAATCAGATAGAAGAGCGTCTTGCGACTGCACTTGTCACTGAGAGGGCTTTCATCCTCGCCGCCCTGGCTCTTGCTGAGTCTGAACAGAGATAAATGTCAGGCTTGCCCACCATTCATTCCACACATCCCCAAGGTAGGCTCCTCAGCTTACCTGCTGGGACTGAGGCCTGAAGTCTGGGGTGGGGACAGTGCCTCCAACACATGGGGCTGGCCCTCCTGGCAGAACTGCTTGAACATGTGTTTATCATCTCCTGCCATCTTACACGAGTAGCTTTCAATCCTACAAAATGCAGGCAGGATCATGGAGCACGCTGACCCCAAGGAGTTGACTCAGGGGTTAAGACGGTGGCCTCCGAGAGTCTGATCCCCAGAGCCTCCAGCCTCACCTGCCAATAATATGGGCATCTCCAGTCTCCACTGTCAACTGCGAGTTGATGGCCTCAAAGCTGGAGTTCTCCAGTAGCTTCATGTCCTTTGGGCGGGGGCTTCTCGTGCCAGAGGGACTAGTGCAGTGCTACCTGAGAATGTGGGAAGCCAGGTTTGGCTACCTAGCTCCCAAGGCTCTGCCTGCAGCCTTCCCACCCACTAGTTGAGCACTGTTTGCAGCTGGGTCTGGCTGAGTCCATCCGGTAGCTCCTCGCCTTCCCCTTACCTGCCCCTGAACACTCAGCATTGGCAGGGAAATGATCCTGTTACCTGAGGATGGCAAGACCAGGGTCCAGCTTAACTCCAACTCCTCCTACATGCTACAAGAGTCCTGGAGCTGGCTGGGAGTGGGGGGAGGGAGTTGAGAGAGTCACCCTGTATTCTGCTCACTCTGAAAGTATTGGAAAATCCCTCTCTCGACGTTCCCTACCCCAAATCGGCACTCTGTAGACACCCTCAGACTGTACTAAGGGTCTCACTCAGGCTAAGAACCTGTAATCTGGTTCGGAACCGGGCACCGGAGGGTCACCTGTATGGGCTTTCTTCCCCAGTTCTATGGGTTGCTTCGCTGTTTCCAGGCGAGAAGAGGAAACCCATGAGTTCTTCAGTTCCATTTGCAATTATGCCTAATTCTCTCTTTGTACGCCAAACTGCATAGGGCGGCCCTACCGCCTCTGCAGGTTCAGTCCAGCAGTCTCCTGGCATTGCCGCCCCGGGAGCAGAGAGGCACCAGCGGATTCGTAAGAGGAAACTACAAGCCCTAGGAGGCAGTGCACCAAGAGAGGAGCTCGGGCTAGGCAGCGGCAAAACTACAAGTCCCATGAGGCAGTGCACAGGCGCGAGCCCTGCCTGGGACTGTGGTTCCCGCAATCCGGGACCGCTTGGAGCACAAGGCGGACACCCACCTGCTAGGAATGGGCTAGATCAAGCCAGACTAGCCGGGTTGCTTAGCGTCGGTGCTGAGATGACGACGGCACGGGCTGCGCGCGGCGCGGGCTCCTCAGGACTGGAGGGCGGCGCCGCGGCCTCCACTCGGGCCGCACTGTATCCGGGGGAAGAAGCTTCGCGGCGACGTCCCGTTACTCCAGGCCCTGCCGGCCCATACGGGCTGCAGCCGCGACATAGCCTCGCCCCCCTGCAGCACTCGGTTTTGCGACTGACCTGCCGCGGACCGCCACAGATCGCACCAGACAGCGAACGAAACAGCGACCTCCGCCTCCCCCGGCCCGACAACAACAAGCGGCCGACAGGCCCAGCCCCACTCCTCTGAATGGTCCGCTCCGACCTCAGGATCCAGACCGCGACAAGCAATTGGGGGAATTCTCCGCCACTCAGCCTTATCTTCCACTTCTACTGGCTGTGTAGCTTGTCTGTCTCGCCCTCGCTTACGAACCCGCCTCCCCTCTTAGTGTTCATTGGTTAGGGCAGTCCCGCCCCGCCCTCGGGGGGGGCAACCCTTTTCCCAGGGTGGAACAGAGTCTCCAAGCGTCTGGTGTGTGTTTGTGTGGATTGGCGCCCTGCTCCTGCCAGGTACTGGCGTTGCCTTACGTCGGACAGCGGCTATCGCCCGTGCGAACCTTTGAGAAAAGTCCATCCTTCATTTTGTGACCGGTGTCTGGTCTCTGACACTGTCCCCGGGCCCAGCTCAAACGTGACTAGCGTGCCTGGAAATTGGACCTTCTCTATCCCTGAGCACAGCAGGTGGTCAAGCTCAGGTAGTGCGCGACCCTGGGGCTTTCGTGTTCTCCACGCTTGGCGCATCCGGAACCTAGGCCCATAGCCCGAGTTTCTGGTCGGCGGAAGCGCTCGACAGCTCTGTATCACGGAAGCGCTCTCGGAGGGTCAGAACTCCGCCGCACCAGATATGGCGCCGCCCGCCGGCGGGGCTGCAGCGCCTGCAAACCCTAGTTCGCCTGCGGTGCTACTGGCAGTGCAGGCCGCGGTGAGACCGCTGGGCGCCGGGCACGACACCGAGGCGCAGCTACGGAGGCTGCAGTTAAGCGCCGACCCTGAGCGTCCTGGGCGCTTCCGGCTGGGGCTGTTGGGCACCGGGCCAGGGGCGGTGAGTGTGGGCCGGGACAGCGGAGTCAAGCGTCTCCATTCCCCTGTCAACTGCCTTTAAGCAGTTACTTTTCTTTGCTTGTCTGTGAAAATGGGGTTAATGCTTTACAAACTCTCATGAGAAATTGGTACGATAACAGGAAAGAAAGGCTTAGGACGGTAAAAATGACCTCTTGTTTCCTTTTCCTTTGATCTTGGCTAAAGATGAGGAACCACTGACCCAGCATACTCTCCCTCTTTTCAGGTCAGTTTAGAATGGCCCTTGGAGTCCATTTGCTATACCGTGCGTGGACCTAACCAACACGAGCTGCAGCCTCCGCCGGGAGGGCCTGGAACCTTCAGTGTGCACTTCCCCAACTCCCAGGAAGCACAGCAGTGGGCAGCACTGGTGCGAGATGCCACCGCGGAGGGACAAAATGGTCAGTGTCATGAAATAAGTGGTCATTTGAAGAAGTCCAGGCCTCCTAGTCGTGGGTAGGGACAGTGATGGGAGAAGCTGGGCATCTAGGAAGGCTTCCAAGAGGAATAAAGTGGAGAAAATGAGAGGTTCAAGAGCTGACACCTGGAATACCAGACAAGTGTGAAAAGGAAGAGCAAGCCCTACTGCAGGGCCGAAAGTTCAAGAACAACATTGTGCTCATTGGAAAAATAACAGGTTCAGGTCTGTGCTACTAAAGACAGACTTCTCTAGTCATATAGAGCGGTGTAGCCAAGGTTAGAAAGAAGACCCGGGGACCTTAGGAGAGGAAATTAGATAGGTTTTATGGTTGTTAAAATGGAAGAATTAGTGGTTAATATGGAGATAGAGGGACCAGTTAGTGTGAGGCTTGTACACAGTGCCTGCTTGGGAAAGCACTGACATGGCTGGGGCTCTGGAGAGGTCAGCCTAAGTCTGAGAGGGAAGCATAGAGAAAAGAAGGCCTTGCATGTAGACCAGTGGTTCTCAACCTTCCTATTTCTGCTACCCTTTAATATAGTTCCTCATGTTGTAGTGATCTCTAACCATAAAATTACTTCATAACTGTAATTTTGCTACTGTTATGAGTCATAATGTAAATCTGTGTTTTCCAGTGGTCTTAGGTGACCCATAGGGTAAGAACCACTGATATAGCCAGTGCCCTAAGGAGATATAGGGCAGTTTACAAATAATACCTGAGGAAAAACTGCTTGAGGGGCAGGGGTAACTCAGCATTGAGGAAGACCTTCAAGTCATTTATTTACCGGATATGTTTATGTAGCCCTTGCTTTAGACTGTTCACAGTGACAAGTATGTAGTCCAGGTGGATCTCAAACTCACTATCTAGCCCAAGCTGACTTTGAACTGTCAATGATCCACTTACCTCTGTACCCAAAGTGTTGTTACAGATGTGTACTACCCAATTGTGGAACTCTTTTTTTCCTTTGTGTGTGTGTATGTACAGGCATACATGTGCATGGCATGTATGGAAGTCAGAGGACAACCTTGGGTGTTAGTCCTCACTTTCCATCTTGTTTGAAACAGAGTCTCTCCTGTTTCCCTAACCAGACTAGTTCCCCTAACCCCATGAAGTTTCTGCTTATTCTCTTGTCTCTATTCCCCATCTTACTATAGAAACATTGGGGTTACAGACACACACTTCCAAGCTTGGCTTTATTTGGTTTGGGGGAATTTAAATTCTTCCTATATGAAAAGCACTTTAAGCTAGATGGCATGGCACAGGCCTTTAATACCAGCACTCGGGAGGCAGAATCAGGAGGATCTCTGAGGCCAGCCTTGTCTACAGAGTAAGTTCCAGGACAGCCAGGACTACACCAGAGAAATCTTGTCTCAAAACAAAACAAAACAAAATAGTACTTTAACCTGCTGAGCTCTCTCTCCTGGACCTTCCTGGGCACTTTTTCTTTTCTTTTTTTTTTCTTAAATTTTTATAATTTATTTATATTTTTTATTTTATGTGCATTGGTGTGAAGGTGTCAGGTCCCCTGGAACCAGATTTTCAAGACAGTTGTGAGCTGCCATGTGGGTGCTGGGAATTGAACCCGGGTCCTTTGGAAGAGCAGTCAGTACTCTTAACGGCTGAGCCATTTTTCCAGCCCCTCTTTTTCTTTCTTTCTTTCTTTATTATGTATACAGTGTTCTGTCTTCATGTATGCCTGCCCACCAGAAGAGGGCACCAGGTCTCATAGATGGTTGTAAGCCTCCATGTGGTTGCTGGGAATTGAACTCAGGACCTCTGGAATCTTTTTTCTACATGCATGTCTTTGCACCATGTGCATGCCTAGTGTCCTTAAAGGTTAGGAGAAAGCATCAGATCCCCAGAGACTGGAGTTAGAGATGGTTGTGAGCTTCCATGTGGTTGCTGAGAACTGCACCCCAGTTCCCTACAAGTGGAACAAGTGCTCTTAACCACTGATCCAGTTCTCCAGCCTGTGGGCACTTTATTATGATTCAAACTTCTAATTTGCTCTCCTTAGAACTTTAATTTCTAGAATAAATAAACTTCAGTTAGATGGTAGAAGGAATGAGAAAGCTGGGAGGGAAGGCTGCTACTTAAAATAGGGTCTCCTTGGGTATGCTGGCATACATCTTTAGTTCTAGCACTTGGGAGGTAGAGACTGGTGGATCTCTCTGAGTTTGAAGACCAGCCTAATCTGCATAGTTCCAGAACAGCCAGGGCTATGTAGAGACTCTTTCAAAAAACAATCAAACAAAAAAGTAAATAACCAAAAGAAATAAGGTCTAAAGTCTTCTCGAGAAAATGAAATTAAAAGAATATGGCTTAAGTTTCATGGCCCAAAATGCAAGAAGTACAAATTCTCCAAGGGAAACTTGTGCAAGTGACCTTCAGAATTCAGGCAAAGTGCTTGAAAAGCTCTACCCATCTCAGTGGTGACATGGTTCAGGGTATCAAGGGCCATAGGTAATTATGGGAGCTATCATGACTGGGTGGGGATCCCTTATTGCAGTGTGGCTTTCAGGAGATAGTAGAAACAGCAGTATATTCAGTTCTGTAAGGCTGCCAGGACAAACAGTGTAGTAGAGAGCCAGAAGAAAGACTCCCTGAGGGTACTGAGAGGGGTGACTGACTACAGGTCTGCTGTTGGGCAGGAAGTGGCAAGCCCCCATCTGAGGGGTTGGTTTGATTCTGCTAAACAGGAGATGCGCAGGTGGGACCAGCTGGCAGAGGGTTCATAAAGTTTGATACAAAGGGGAGTGGGAACTGGAATTGATAGGTAAAATGAGAATAGTTTTTTTCAATAAATTAAAATAAATGATACCAAGGATGAACCAGATATAGCATTGGTACCAGAATTCAGGCAGGACTTCTGAGGATTTTTCTTTTAATTTTACATATGAATATTTTCTCTGTGTGTGTTTGTACCACTGTGTACTTGGTGCCCCAGAGGCCAGGTCATTGGATCCCTTGGAATGGAGTTACAGGTGGTTGCTAGCTTCTGGGAACCAAACCAGGGTGTTCTGCAAGAGCACCAGATGCTCTGAAATGTTGATCCATCTCTGTCCAGCTTAGAGTTTTTGTTGTTTTGAGGGCCAAGATTGGGAGAGGAAGGCTTAGCCTGAATTATGGCCTAAGGATAGTGCGGTCAGGCAGAGAACGCAAAGGTTCTAAAATCCTGAGGATAGAGACCACTAGCCTACTCCGTATCTTCTCTCTTAGGCAATGGCAGCCAAGCCCCAGCCCCAGAAATGTGCCCCCTTTCTCCACCATGTTCTTCTGTGGCCCAAATACCTAAAGCAACCCAACCTGAGGTGGATCTTCTTCACAGTTCTGGAAACTTGAAAAAAGGTAAGGACAGACTGGAGGGACTTGGAGAGCTGTGGCTGGTGTCTGGTTGTGATAGTTGTCTTTTCTACTCGTAGAAGAGCTGGCTACACGCCTGGCCCAGGCCATTGCAGATGGAGATGAGAAAGAAGCAGCCCATGTGGCAGCAATCCTGGCACAGCATCATGTGGCTCTCAATGTCCAGCTCATGGAGGCCTGGTTCCCACCAGGTCCCATCAGGTAGGGCCTGATCTTGCATTGCTTACTCTGCCCTCCTGACCCTTCCAGGTTAACTGTCCAATCCTCTGATCTACATTTTGACATAGGTTGCAAGTCACAGTTGAAGATGCCACATCTGTTTTGTCCTCTGCAGCGTCTGCCCATGTCTCACTGCAGATCCACCCACACTGCTCCATTGCAGCCCTCCAAGAAAAGGTGAGCATGGGGCATTGGGAATCTTACATGTATAGCATGGATCCTGGGTAACACTGCCTGGCCCTGATGTTCTGGCCTCAGGTGTTCTCAGAGTTCGGTTTCCCACCAGCTGTGCAGCGCTGGGTCATTGGGCGGTGCCTATGTGTGCCTGAACGAAGCCTTGCTTCCTATGGGATCTCACAAGATGGGGATCCTGCTTTTCTCTACTTGCTCTCAGCCCCCCGAGAAGCTTCAGGTTAGTTCTTAATGGTGGTAAGAGAGGTGGGGGTGTAGTTTTGAGATGGCCCTGAGCCTTCTCCTCTGTCACAGGACATAGCCCTCAACATTCCAAGATGGATGGGAAATTAGGATGCTTGTTTCCTCAGTCACTGGAGCAGCCTCATACCCTCCAGCCAACCAGCTCCAGTCTCCCAAATCCCCCTCAGGTGGGCAAATAACCAGAGCCTCTGGGAGTGGGCTAGACATGGGCAGCTGTGGGCGCTGGAAGGAGCTGGGATGCATCAACAGTCTTCCCATATTCCCAGTCTGGCTGGTCTTGCCCTTCCTGCACCTTCATCAATGCCTCCAACCGCCCTGGCTGTGAGATGTGTAGCACCCAAAGGCCCTGTACTTGGGATCCCCTTACTACAGCTTCCACCTAGAAGACACCAAAGGTACAAGAGGTTGGGTAGGGATGAGGGGATACAATATAGAACAAATAGAAATAACCTATCTTCTTCCCCAGGTTACAAAGACCATGGCCATCCAGTCACAGACCCAAGTCCCTGAACCACCACCACTCAAATATCGCAGGGGACCTCTGTTTGTTGGGGACAGAGATGCAGTGTTAAGGAACAAGGGCCACAAGCCAGTAATTAAAGACACACAAGAACCAGCCCGTGTCCTAGTCTTGGTACAGAGTTACACTAGTACAGCTGCCTGGGAGCAAGGAAACAGATTTTGCCCCTCAGTTGCAGATGGAGCTCCCCAAACCACAACCAGGAGACTACAAGGGTAGATTTAGACTAAAGTTCCAGTGGTCACAGATCATGGTACTAGGGTCTTTCCAGAGCCTTCAAGCCTACAGGGGCTCCTCAGACTGCTAATCTGCTAGTAGTTCCTCTCACTAACCCTGGCCCTTTGCTGCCCTTCTTGAATCCTCCTATAGTCCAATCACTATTTTCAGCTGTTTCAGCCAGTATGAAACCAGCAATGGGACTGGGCATTTCTGCTTCACCACAGGGATGCTTTAGCACTGCGAGTCATGAGTCTCATTACCAGGTCATGCCTTTGTGATCCTGACAACCATCTGTCACCGCTCTTTATGAATAGAAGTGCCAACGCTTTATGAATCTAGTCATGGCCAGTTTGGCCTAGATGTACTACCTAATTGCCCCGGAGACTACTAGGTGTCATTCCCTGATAAATACCAGACACTTCCACATATATTTCCAGCACAACCCTTTTATCTGTCCAGCCAAGACTAAGACATCCCAGATCCCCTCTGCCTGGCTACTCAACGTTTCTGAGAACTTCCTCCCTGCCCTCCCCTCCTTGCCAGATAGCACTGCTCCACCACTGATGCTGCTCTAGGTCTTGCTGAAAATCTGAAGGTTCCCTGCTGCCATCAATGTGGAAGCGGGACCCCCTTTCTAGCTCTGCCAAGGTACAGCCACTCTGTTCAACAGTGCAGTGCTGCTTTTTCAGAAATAAAATATTTTGGGACTGGGGGTAGAGCAGTGGTTGTTGCCACAGGTACACCTTTGCACTACATTCACGCAGTGCCTTTGGAGGCCAGAAGAGGGTTTCAGATCCCCTGGGACTGGAGTTGTGACTGCTGCAAACTGAATCTCTCTAGTCTGAATGGTACTGCTCTTAGCAGCCAATTTTTGCATTCTGACCCACATTTATAATGCCCAGATACTGGATAAGGAAGGAAACAATATTGCAGGGAAATATGGGTCCCAGGGCTCCTTGGAGGTTTGGGTTTCAGTCATTGAATAGCTAAAATGTGTATGTTGAGAAACTTAATTTATTCCCACGAGGGCTGAAGGAAGATCAGAAGCAAGAGTCTGGTCTCCTACCCCATTTCCATGTATCAGATGAAAAGGGGCTAGGCCTAAAAAGGCCTAGGACTGTTCCTGGACTGCTGAGGGCTTGTTCAGGCAAGATGACAAGCAGATATTGGACAGGGTCACTTGGGTGGCCGGTATGCCAGCTTTCGACTCTTCAGGACTGACCACTTATGCCGCTTCATGGCATAGGTCAGGGGCAGCAGCAAGCCCATCATCAACAACATCTGGGAACAAAGCAAGTTCAGAAAAGGTAGACAGGAAAGACCATTTCCCTATGCCCACTGTGACCCTTGCCCAACCCTTCACCTTGAGCCCCATGCGTTTCCGATGGTCATGTTCTGGCTCTGATGCCCATCGAAGGAAGGTGGCGACATCCTTGGCTATTTGCGACATGGTAGCTGGGGTGCCTGGGCCAAGGACAAATGGTGAGAGCTACCTTTGGGGGCTTGTGCTAATCCAGGACAACGCTCTGTGCACTGTGTTCCACAGAGGCAGGGACTGTCCATTACAAGGCTTTAAAGGGATAGGAACCCTACAGGACTATGAAAGTTATTCCCAAAGCCTTTTTAGATATGTACAGTCAACAAACATTGCAGGTAAGAGGGGAGCAGACCTCTAGACCCAGGAATATAAGGGAAGCATGCTGGGAATAGGAAAGGGCCCATGGTCAAGGACACTCACCATCATCATACTCCAAGACTTCATTGTAGATGGGAGGAGCCATACCAATGGCCTGGCCAGGAAAGTAAGGGTTGAAGTACAGGCCTTCTCGCAATGACACCCCAGTGGGGGGCTCACAGTATCCAGTGAGCAAGGAGAACACATAGTCTTCACCACCATGCCTAGAAGCAGACCCGTGGCTCAGTCCTTAACACAAGGCTAATTTCCCTCCCTGTTTGCAGCCCTGCACTAAGGGCAGCCCATGTACCTAGCTCGCACGATGTAGCTGAGGTCTGGGGGTAAGGCTCCATTGTTAGCAGCTCTGGCAGCCTCAGGGTTGGGGTATGGTTTTGGAAAATAGTCAGACAGCTTCCCTGGCCTCATGAACATCTCCCCATCCTCATTAGGACCATCCTGGACTTCCACCTGCCACCAAGAATTCCATCACAGTCCTTCAATTCCTTACAGTAGAAGCCCCAATCCCTGTATCCTCCACCTTCTCTTGGCCCACACCTCCTCAGCCAGCGCCTTCGCTTCCTCCTCCGTGTAGCACACTCCCACCAGATGGCGGTAAGCCACATAATCCATGCTGTGGCAGGAAGAGCACACCTGCTTGTATACCTGGAAACCCCTACGGATGCTAAAGAGAAAAAGGATGAGAGAAACTGAAGATTCCCGTTCACCCAGAAATGTCCACCCCCAACCCCGCCGCTACACACCCACCTGGTGTGGTCCAAGGAGGAGAGGAGGCCACGGTGAGACCATGGGTAGCTGGGGGGGTGCAGCTCCAGGTCACTGGCACTCACGGCAGTATGCAGAGCCACAGCTAGCCCTGCACCCCCAGCCGCCAGCATGCCCAACGCTGACAGCATCACCTTCCGGCCCCGGGAGGGGCCAGACTTCGAGGACAAGGACACTGCCTGCAAGAGCCCCGCTCAGCACCTGCCAAGACCCCACCCGCCCACCTGGGGATCTGAATGGGCGCCCATCTCTTCCGCTCAGCCACCCAGCACTAGCCACCGCCCGCAGAGCGCCAGAGGCCCACTGTCTGCTACATCCCTCAGTGCAGCCGACTCAGACACAGCTCGGCCTTATAGAGCAGATGAAGAATGCTCTCGGACCAAGAACCGGGAGACAGGCATAAGTGACCAAGAGTGCGGCAGCAGACCAAGGTCACCCGCAGCCGGCTGAGGTCAGGCTGGGGTCACTTCAGGCCATCAGCCAGGTCTAGACAGCTGGCTTCGGGAGTCGTTCTGGGCATCCCTTCGTAGGAATCTCCCGTCCCGACCCCACCACAGCCGGACCCTGGGCTCAGACCAGCGTGCCCTGTCGCTCCGAGGCGTGGGCACCCAGCCTGGCTTCCCGAGTGCGCCGAACCGTCAGCGGGGACCCTGCCGAGTCGTAGGAGGTACGTGGGGGACCGATGCCGGCGCGCGCCCGGAGCCTCCCCGCCGTGACCTTCAGGGCTGAGGGGCGCGCGGTGGCCAGGGCCCGCGCCAGTACTCACCTGCGGTGTCCGTAATGGAAGAGGCCGGGACCGCGCGCCGCCCAGCAGGCCCGGAGCATTTGCGCATGGAAGCCCCACGCCCCGGGGACCCAGCACCGACCGGCGAAGCGAAGCTGCAGCCGCCGCCATGTCGGCCCTCTTTAGTGCGGCCGCCGTTCCCGTCGGCCCGTGCGGGCGGACGAGAATTCAGACCGCGCGAGAGCAAGGCAGTGGGCGGGTCCAGGCGGAGCTGGCTAGGGAACTGTCCGTCAGTCGTGCAGGGCTGCCCTTGTCCGACTCTTCTAGTTCTCAGGGAAATTACCGCTGAGCCTGGCCGCGACTCTGATTACAGTAACAACGCCTGTTTTTGTTGTTGTTTGTGTTTGCTCCTTCTTTCTCATTACGTTCTTCTTTGCAGCCGGCGAGTTTCTTTATCAGGTTCTTCATCATGACTCCGCGGATCCCGCCCCTCCAGTTGAGTCTCTGGCGGGCTCCCTGAGCGCTAAGAGCCGCTCACTCGTCCCGGCCCAGTGCGGCGACTGTAGTGGCGACCGGGCGTAGAAACTCTCCCTGACCAAATTCCTTTTAAGCTTTCATACAAATTCCATATATAAACTCGACTTCTTTACTGAGAACATACCTAAACGGGGTACCCCATGATTTGCTGTCCATCACGAAGCTGCAGCTCCCTCTGGATGTAAACTCCCTTTGATCGCCCAAGCATTTGGCGCTTCTTTTTTAAAAAGTTCAAATTGATAACGTGTGTGGGTGGTTTGAAGCTCTGAACTTCAGGAATTCCTTTGTCATTACTTTTAGGGTGACTCTAATGATGAGTGTGACCACATGAAACAATTTATCTGATATATCTCTCTTCTTTATTATTTATCATGTATAAAGTAATCTGCCTGTATGTCTGCCTGCAGGCCAGAAGAATGCACCAGATCTCATTATGGATGGCTGTAAGCCACCATATGGTTGTGAGATTTGAACTCAGGACCTCTGGAAGAGCAGCTCTTAACCACTGAGCCATCTCTCCAGCCCGGATATATAAGTTTTCAAGAAATAAGAAAACCTGACCTATAAATTGAAAATGAAGAGTCAATTATTAGAATTAGTCCCATGGAAGTCCTGCCTTAGACTCAGAAATATAAGCCAACTTAGTGTAATTTCATACCCACTAGACTTTACTGTAAGCAACAAAATGGACAGTGACCAAGTGCTGATTAGTGGCTTAGTTTTCTATTGCTGTGAAGAGACACCATGACCAAGGCAACTCAAAAGAAATCATTTAATTGGGGGCTTACTTGCAGTTTCAGAGGGTGAGTCCATGATTGCCATGGTGGGGAGCAAGACGGCAGACAACACTCATGGTGCAGTGCAGAGCTGAGAGCTTATATCCTAATCTGAGAGCTGGAGGCAGAAAGGGAGTGACTGGGCCTGACCTCAAAACTGAAACCTCAAAACTCACCTCCAATGACACAGCTCCAATAAGGCCAGGCCTTCTGATCCTTCCCATGACAGTTCCACCAACTAGGGACCAACTATTTAAATACATGAGCCTTTGGGGGCCAGTCTCATTTAGCCAACACAGTATGTAGAGAAATTGGAGTCCTTATACAGTTCTGGTGGGAACCTAAGGTGGTTTAACTCATTTGAAAAATAGTTTGGCAGTTG